TGTGTGTGTGTGTGTGTGTGTGTGTGTGTGTGTGTGTGTGTGTGTGTGTGTGTGTGTGTGTGTGTGTGTGTGTGTGGGAAAAATTGCTAGTCAAACATGAGAGAACCACATTCTTAAGTAGTTTTTTAATGAAACTAGCTAAACTATAATTATCATAGCTTTTGTATATATCTATGTATGTTGGTATGGTCCCCATCTCCTCCTAGACAAATGGACCAACCTGAGGAAACTGCGTAGGGCATTGTGAGTGCCAACATTTATATGATATACACAATTAGTTTATTGGTCAGAGCAAATTTTAATCTTCCCAGTTCAGACTATTGATCAAGTTATCAAAATAAGTCACAGTTTAAAAAAAATAAGAATAAAAAAAAGTTTAGAAAAAAAGTGCACAAATGAGACGACAATGGTGTGGGGATAAGAAGACAAAGTTTGTGTGACATCATCATGTCATGAGACACTTTATGAAGCAACCGGTTGGGTAAAACCTTCTCAAACACATATTGATATTATTTTATTATGTTCTTCATTTTAAAGACTTGCATTGTCACATGGATCACTGAATAATAATGAGAGTGAAGATATTATGTAAATCGAAAAGGTGTCATGACGACAAAGAGAGGAGGAAGTGCGTTCAAAGAGTGTTTTTGGCTCTTCTAAGGATCACATCCATGAGTGGCTGGGTGGCTGCTGCTGACAGGAGAGGATGTCTTTTATCAACAGGTGTTAGGAAGCCACTGAAGATATGAGGATAGATAACACAGGCAGAGCGGCACAAACGACCCAGGAAGAGAGATCGCAGACAAGGTGTGTGAGCAACCGCAGCCGCATTCTCAGCCTGCAAACACCCTTTCACCACTTCCACACTCACCTCCGATGTGTTTCTCCACCCAACCCCCCGTGCCACTTATCTCCTTTGAATCATCTGTGGGACCGGGCATTGCCAACTTTAGGTGTAATTAGCAGATGTCGTGCAACCGGCCATTGCCCAATCTCAATAAAAACATGTTTGGTTTCAAAACAAACAAGAATATAATAGCTAGCACTAGAATAACTCTGCAAAGGTGCAATTATTAACTTACAATAGACAGATGCGCATGCAAAGTGAGTGCAGCATGTGCAAAACAGAAGCCACTCATTGTGTCTGACTTTATTAAATTTTAAACAGCCGCACTGAGCTGCTCTGTTTTAGATTGTGCTTTTGGAAAAAGGATGAATTTCACTCAGTCATGAAGAAAATATTACTGTGTAATGAAAGAAACAAAACATCTGTGATGGAGGTGATGCAGGGTTTAAAAAAAACAAAGCATGTTACTATAGAACATGGCATGCAAAACATGAAAGACATGCAACCTACCATGAAGAAAAAACTGTATTACTGAGGGCAGGAAAAAAAGGGTCAGGACAGAGGAAAAAAACTTTCCTGCCCACCACACCAGATGGGTGCCTTTGCTGTTGTGAGAAGCTAAAGCTGGCTTCAGTCCAAACAACAGGCGCAGTTGCAATATCTGTCTCCAGGGAAACAGCCCTATCTCTTGATGTTCAGGTAGCAGAGGGGGGGAGGGGGATGTTGGAGGTCAGCATCCTGCTTCTAAACCTGGAAAAGGAAACTAATCCAAGGTCAAACAGGGCCACTGTGTTGAGTGAGACTTCACATGGGGATGGGGTATTCAAAGTGCATCCCCATC